CCCGTACACTGGGGTAGGAGGTAAAAATAGGTTCACGTTTGGAGTTTTATCTCCCGGGAAAAATATCAATAAATGTCCACTTTCAATTAGAAAAATAAACATTCACTCTAATTCATCCCAACCTACTGATCACATAAAATGCATATAATCGATAAAGTTACCAAGCACAATATCAATATATTTAAATGTTATTGCACATTTGATATCGATAATTATTTTATAATATTACATAACTAACTGACAGGCCAAAAATTCCACCCAATTGATTTTTTTTTTCATTTTCTTGCTAAAAGAAAATTCTGCCTTTAATTTGTCTCATTGATTTTACCAATAAATACTTGTTTGTGTTATGTTTTAAATTGGGAATATCAATTAGAGGTAAGCATACATAATCCAAAACAAGGATAAAGGATTGTTCAATGTTTACTTTTTATGGAATTGAAAATGTTTATTCGGTCTCATTTGAACCTCAATGAACTGTTTGGTTTTCATCTTTGTTTTCTTAATTTCAAGTTTTAGCAATGCCACTTAGTGCTGAGGATGTTGCGCGTGGTGTGGTATTTATAGATGATTGACATTCCATCAGGCGGTTAGTCGTTTTCAAAAAGCTGGGTCCTACCATTGAAGGCCCGGTTCTGGACGCTCTAGGGTAACAGGATGATCGTTTTTTGACTTTTGAGAATTTTGCGAACCGGCACCTTACTTGTTCAAGCGATTCATCAGCTCCAGGAAGTTCGAGGTGTCCAAATTTCTGACGCACTGTTCGAAGAACATTAAATCAGTATGGACTGATGGCTTTTCGCACGTAAGGGGACCTGAATTAACCAGCACACAAAGAGTTGCACGGCTCGCATTCCCTCGAGTTAACTGCCATAGGTCTTTGGACGATTGGTCTGCAGTAGTTTTTACAGATCAGTGTACATTTGTTCGTGATAGAGATACAGATACATAGACGTGAAAGAGAGGGGAGAAGGCGAAATGAAAGATACGAAGCCTGTAATTTTTACCAGAGCCAACCTTTTCAGTTAGCTCAGTGATGGTGTGGGCGGGAATTTCAATGGAGAGTCGCAGAGGGTTGGTTGTTTTTCGTGGAGGGTCTTTGACGGCCACTCGCTATGGGATGAAATTTTGGAACATCGTACGGTGCCTAACCTCGATTGAATCATCGACAATCCAATTCTAATGATCGATAATGCCCATATATATGTCGGACAAACGTACCTTCAACAGCATAATATCAAGGCCTTAGCCTGGCCAACCCGTTCTCCAGATTTGAACCCTCATCGAACATTTATGAGATAACCTCAAAAGACGAATAAGAGCACGTCCATCACTTCCTGATTCACTCCACGATCTTGAAAGGATTCTTCGTGACGAATAGGCCAACCTCTAGCAAATAGACATTTCCAGACTGGTAGAAGTATTCCGACGCGTCTTCGAGATGTGATTAAGGCAAGAGGAGGAAATCCGTGATTTTGAAATGTTATTAAAAATCTAAAACAAACTTAAAACTAATTTTATCTGTCCGTATTTTTTTTTTTTTCATTTTCCTTACCAAATTACTTTCTTTTTTTATACAAAGACTCAATTATTAAAAGTATTAAAGTTTGATTAATATATAAAAATATATACAAATCAAGTTATGTTACAAGTGGGTGGAATTTTTTGCCTGTCAGTGTACATAGGAAAAGAACAAAATTTTATTTCTTAAACGTACATAATTCGTAAACGTACAATAAACGAACGGTATTTCTTGAGTTCAAGATTAGTGTTTGTATTGTTACCATTTCTATTTAAAGTGAATAAGGAAGAAAACTTCCATTAGTTAAATTGGTCCTTCTATTTCCTAATCAAAGTGTTTCTTTAATAAATAAGTAAAAGGGTTTGAATAGGGTGCGTGGCTTTATATTTCAACCATTATCAAAACACATATTTAAATTTTCATGCAAGACAACATTCTTTCTATTATCATTACTTTTTGTATTATGGTAAAGCAATGTTATTTTCTGAATAACTCTATTACGCAATGTGTGGTGTTTAGTGACCGTTATTTAATGATTATTTGGAGATCTTGAGATGCGGTTGGTGTGAGATAGGTTTAGAAAAATCTTTATCGTGCTAACGTTTCGATCTTTATTGAGAAGAAGAACACAGAAAACAAACACTTTGAGCCCTGAAGATTATTTCAATAAAGATCGAAACTTTGGAACTATAAAGAAAATGTTTTTCTAAACCTACTTCACACCAGACACATCTCCTAATAATCATTTATTACGTAAATTAAAATTTATTCTTACAATTAGGTTTTATTCAAATAAAACTTTAAAATTGCTAGTATTTTCATTTCTTTTGTTTTTTAAATATTTTGTTTTATTATTATTTATATCTGATCCATATTTTAGAAATTTCTGATTCCAAACAAAAAAAAAATAACTTAGAGTAATGATTTCTTAACTGTATATCATACTGTAAATTCATATAAATAGTTTATTAACAAACCTGAGCAAAGATATTTTATTTTCTTGACTACTGAAATATTTCATTTAAAAAATTTAGAAATTTAGGAATCTAGAAAAACCTGAAACTAGTGACACTGACTTTTTTATCTCAGCCAATACCTTACATAAAAATTTATTTATTTATTTATTAAAGATTAATTAATTGAAAGATGTTATTTGGTCAATCGGACCACGAAATCTAATGAATCTAATACTGACTAGGTTGTAAATTGGTCACTGTAGACTTTTCTTGTGTGACGCTGGTCTGTTAAGTAAAATAAAATTTTAGTTCATTTCTGAACATATGACAAATTTGAACCGCATGGAAGAACAACTGCTTAAACAATTATTAAGAATTAATTATATCTTGCCTATTTTGTTTTCCATATTATGTCCTTGTGAAAAAAAAATTAGTTGATTGATGCGGTTTTTTTCACACCCCAGGTGAAATATTTATATCCTTCATTGATACTAAGCGTGATGAATTTTGAAAAAGAAATTATATATTACGCAACACAGGAATTAAAATTGTATATATTCCACCAAATTGCTCAAATAGGACGGCAAATGTTTTCACTTAAAAGTCCGCCCATCAAGTTAGATTTCTTAAACCTATCCACATTTTCAGATAAATTATGACACGGTGTAGTATTAATGTTCCTAAGTAATTTTAGAGTAACAGATAAGAGAGGCCGTTCACGAGTGTGACACGAGTTGCGGTAAAGACTAACTATGTTAACAAAATCAAGGCTCGTCGCATGTTATCATATCAATGTTTACTAACTGTCTGAGGCGGTAACGCGCTTTGTATTAACTCACCTTTTCCAATTTAATAATCCTCTAAACCATTTTAACTTACTTAAAACCGGACGCGGTACGGCACCATTGTTAATACGATAAATTGACATTAAACGTTCTTTAAAAAATACCCCTGTCTTTTGTTCGATTTGCTCTTTTTTATTTCCTATTTCAGACTAATAGAGACTGACAGGCAAAAAATTCTACCTACTTGTAATATAGTTTGATTTGTACATATTTTTATCTGTTAATCAAAGTTTCACGTGTTTTAACGTTTAATAATTGAATCTTTTTTTTAAGTTTAAAAAATGTAAATTTCTAAAAAAATGAAAAATTAAAAAAAGACCGACAGATAAAATTTGTTTTAATCCATTATATTTCGTGGTCCGATTGACCAAACAACTTCTTTCAATTAATTAATCTTTATGCAAGGTATTGATTGAAATGAAAAAGTTAGTGTCACGAGCGGGATTCGAACCCACGAGTTTCGGCTAAATACGCCGCTGCTCTACCACTTGAGCTATCATGACTTCGATCCACTCGGACACCAATTTCCCATCTCCACCCCACCTGTTGAATTTTCCCTCCTTTTTGCCATTTTTCAAATGTCGTGTAATCTCGGCGACTAATGAAATGGCCACGGAGAGGGTTCGAATCCCGCTCGTGACACTGCCTTTTTTATCTCAACTAAAAAACCTTAATTAATTGAAAGATATTAATTGGTCAAGCGGACCACGAAAACTAGTGGATTTAATAAAAATTTGTATTCAAGGGTTTAGCACTAATGTCAAAACTCTCTAAGATTTTTTAAATTTAAAACTGTATGCTTAAATAGTCTGATTTATTGCACGAAATTTGGCTAATTTTTAAGATGCTTTATTGTTTATTGCCACTACAAAATGTTTTTTATATCCAAAGAGTAATACAGATATTTATATTTGTATTTTTTGTTTTAAAAAAATTTAATTTAAATTTGTCTGCTTGGAAAGACGGTAATTTTTGATACTTAATGTGACTCATTTTAATTGAGTTTATTGTTTAGCATCTCTGAGACGATACATTTAATGTCAAAAAAGGGTTAATATTATAGAAAATTTTAAAAATTTAAAACCAAACTAGTACTTTTGACCGAATCAGTACCACAACACTAAAATGCTTCTACTTTAAAGGTATGTTTTTCCTCGCCCTGCTTACCATCCCAACGTCACCCATTCATAATTGGGCTTTTTCGGGCAAAGAAAGATTTTCACGATTGTCATTTCTGAATATTCTAATCAGCCTACTTTAGTTTTGGTGTTTCGCAGGAAGAGACGAGGATAGGCAGACCAAACTATGGGTCACCCTAGGCATCAGGGCGACAATTAGAAAACTAGGTTGATGTTTATTCAGACATAGAATATAATTGTTATATTATTTTCTTGTAAAAAAGGTAGTTTATGTAATGTTTGGCTCTGATTACTATGAAAAAATATGTTAACTAAAATCAAATTTGAAAATTTAAGCCCAAGCTAAGATACTTTATTGTTTATTGCCACTACAAAATGTTTTTTATGTCCAAAGAGTAATACAGATATTTATATTTGTATTTTTTGTTTTTAAAAAAATAAAGAAAATAAATTCTATGCCAATTTTATTACACAATAAAAATTGAATAAATGTACAAAATGCAAGCATATTAAACTTATTGATTAATTTATTTTTCAGGGTCATGTTTAAGCTACGGCCATTCATGCTGGGGAGGTAAGTAAAAGCAAATAATGTACCTCACTTTGTATTTTACCTGTGATATGCAAATGCTGCCCCTGATGTGCTTCTTAACTGGATAAAAGTGATGCCCTGAATGCATCGACGCGATTCAAATGATTTAAACTTTACAAAAAACTATTCTATATATTTTGTTCTCTTTAAATTATTCAATAAAATTGTAAGCAAAATATTTTACGTGGGCGTTACCGGCATCTGAAGCTCTTAACCGCAGTATCGGTTTTGCCTGTGGTGTATTCACAAAGCGAATATTCAGCCTGAATCATCTGCCGGTTTCAAACATAATACCACCTAGAGTAATCATGGTAGTAAGGAAAACTGATGCTTATGAATTAATCTGTTGGAACTTATTGCAGGTAAAACAATGCTAAGGTGTCTCAAGCCAGTGAAATCAACAAAGCCATCGATTTCCCAATCAATTTTTTAAGTAAATATCCCATCCTCGTTCGTTTACCAATCGCGACAGTTTTTTTTCATGAATTTAAAAAAAATTAATGCGACCAACATGTAAATACTGTTTATATAAATACATTTAATTTATGCCCTTGTAGAAATATGTATTATTAATGTATTATTTTAAGTATTTTATATTGGTTTTCTCAGTGAAAAATATTTTTTTCATACAATTGATTTTTAAAACGAATCAAATTTCTAAACTTTCCATCAAAAATGACTAAAACTTGGAGAAATTCCTTTTTGAACGCCTGATTTTAGGGTTGTCGATGTTATTCCCTTTGGCGTGACATGTCTTTAAAATCACACTAAAACATACGAACAAGAACAGAAAGTTGCACCGTAACCAAATAGTCTACATCAACTAAACTTAATAACTCAGAGTAAGTGCGGTGTCATTTGATGGATGAATGATGGAATTTTTTGTAATAGGTTTTCGCTACTTCTGTCACAAAGGGAGTATTAAGGTTTCGGTGTTGAGGTTTGACACATAATAAGGAGGGTTAACAATTTTCCTTAGGAACTTTGATTAGAATCTTTGAATACATTGGGAGTTGGAATGCTTGGTTAACCCACAGTTCGATACAATAAGTCCACATAGGTTTAAGAACCATGATGTTAACTTTTGTAATTAAGTGGAAGTTAGGATCCTCTGTCGAGTAATGGTGATAACAGTTTGTAACGTTTGTTTAGTTCGTTTCGTTTTAGTCTTGTGTGCGGATTCCAAATAAGTCGTTTGTCCAGGTTAAGTACCACGTAACGTAAGTTTTCGATAGGGGTAGTGAAATCTCGACAAAGTAAACAGATGTAATGTTATACGTCTGAGTTTGAAGTTAATGTATTGGCTCTTCTTTGCATTTATTTTAATTCCTCACTTTTTGGATCAAACGTCACGGTGACTTGATCTTTATGCTCAAGTATCGCTGCATCGTCAGAAAAAGTAGAGAAAACTGTTTCTGGGAAGTCAATGTTAGCAGAATATATCGTGAAAAGAATAGGTCCAAGTATGTTCCCTTGTTGGACGCCAGCTTGGATAGGATAGATAGAGGATATCACTGATATATAAAATTATAAATTTTTTGCCTTCTTTGTAGTTTTTGAAATTTTGAATAATAATCCTCTCTTTATATATAAAAAAACAACTTAGTGCCACAATTAACGAAAAGTTATAATATTGCGTAGTTTTTACATTGTACAAATGTGAGTTAGCCAATGAATTAATTATGCCTAATATTCACTGATGTAAGTAGTTACAAGATTATTTTTATGTATAGACAAAAATGAACATTTAAGAAAGGTTTAGTATAGATTCGTTACTTAAAATTCATTGTATAATTTTTTCGCATTATATCTATACGGTTTACGTAAAATAATTTTAAGAAGTGAGTTTATAGTTACATCCAGAGTCTTAGTGTAGCATTTAGAAGTACCTCCCCAGGAAACAATACCATAGGCTATTATGGATTGTGTAAGAAAAAAATATATTGCTCTTAAGAGTTCAATTTTCCTAAAGTTGCGTAAAATTCTAAATTTATAAAAGAGCTTTCTCAGACACTGTAAGCAAAAGGGATAGGCAAGAAGGATACACATCATTATCATCACAAGTATGAAAAGCAAATTTTAAATTATTAGTTGTTTTGTTCAATGAAAAGTGTAATACATTACATTTTTTGTGTTTAGATGTAGACAGTTTGAGTTTAACCAAAAAATTGATCATTTTCATATCATTATTTATAGTTCACTAGTTTTCGTGGTCCGCTTGACCAATCAATATCTTTCAATTAATTAAGGTTTTTAGTTGAGATAAAAAAGTCAGTGTCACGAGCGGGATTCGAACCTACGACCTTCCGCTATATACGCCGCTACTCCACCACTTGTGCTATCGTGACTTCGATGCAGTCGGACACTAACTTCCCATCTCAACCCCCACCTTTTGAATTTTCCCTCCTTTTTGCCATTTTTCAAATGTCGTGTAATCTCGGCGACTAATGAAATGGCCACGGAGAGGGTTCTAATCCCGCTCGTGACACTGCCTTTTTTATCTCAACTAAAAACCTTAATTAATTGAAAGATATTAATTGGTCATGCGGACCACGAAAACTAGTGAATTAGAAACTAGTCAAATGAAATGGCCACGGAGAGCTTTAGTGAAGATATACTTCAGACAATTGTGGTACGCCAGATTTACAATTTATTGAAAAGAAACGTATTAAGTTTATTCAACCAATTGCCACCTTAATTTCCATAAACTTATGTTCAACTGGTGATAATTGCTTTTATCGCCAGGGATAATAAAACTACCACCTAAATACATCGTGAAACGAATCAACGTATGTCGATTCAATGAATTTCAATTGTAATACCCACTACCACCAAGACTAATCAACTGAGGACTGAATCATTTTTACCAGGAACTCATTTGACGTCAAACCAAGAACAAAGGACCTTAAAAAAATTATTTAGCCATTTCATACTTATATCTCGTCGTCGCCATTGGGACAACACGGGGATCAGACGAATATTTCCCCAGTGAGCAATTCAACAGATTCAATTGGCTATTCTTCAGATATTCTTATACAGGCAATTCTGACTCAAATAATCTAATGAATTCTGATTGTAATCGTGTCGAAGCCAGACGCACGAAATGTGAAAAAACTACACATAAGAAAAGCCCGTTAAATCCAATTTTTCAAAAGTACGTCTAAATTACATACTCTGGCCAATCATCTTAATGGATCATTCGCTATGAAAAGTCAAAACTATGATTAAGAGATCGTACAACTTGTAATAACGATAAAGGTTGTGTTAACGATTGTTACCCTCGATATCGTTAAGCTATTAGGGAATTGAGTTTATTCTTAGAACTCAAAATAATTTCAATAATGATAAATTTGATTCGTATTTTTTATACAATTAGGCCAATAGAAAAGTTGACCTGATCGACACTGATAAGTTTGCTGAATCCTTCTCATCTCGATCGTGTGAGGTCATTGTTATTTTCCCTGATATTTGTTACTAGTTTTCTTCCATGTTTGTTTATACAGTAAGTAGTTGTATTATTGTTTTTTCTAGTATGTTTTCTCCTAAGTGTCTTGTCCATTCTTGTATGTGGGCAGGAATTCGATGGCTGTATAAACTTCCCTATGGCCTGTGTTATGTTGGTTTTATGTTCTATGCTGGTTGTTTCTGACATTTCTGTAGCACATTAGTTTTGATTTGTGGTTTGTGTTTTAACAGACTTGTTAGTTTCTTTTGTTAGAGTCGTATATTTTTGTTAGTAGTTCATCTGGGAGTTTTTTGTTGGGTTTGTCTTTCTTTACGGTCAGTGAAAAGACTCCCGGTTTCACCCGTGTTTTTTGTTTCACGTACTTGATTTTGCGGCAAAGTTTAAGTTTGTTTTGGGTTAGTCTTGCGAAAGTCAGAGTAAAATTTGTCAATTACCAACGAAAATAGACTGATCAGTGATGTTAATTCCAACATGTTTTCACCAACATGCCGGCCAGTTTTGATTTTGTATCGATACAAATTTTAGAAGCCAGCTTCCGATTTTAAAGGGCCAAAAAACCAAAATCGTCAAATTTGAATTTTTGCATATTGACAATTCGCTGAAATTTAAAATAGTAATTCATGCCGTACAGGAAGTTATAAAGTCCAATTATTCCTTTGGCGCCGCAGGCGTAGCTTTCAAATCACTTTTCAATTTTTTTCATACTATTCTCAATTAAAAAGCCGCGGGCTATTTTTACAATGGCCTCTTCAGGTCGAAACGAATTCAAAATCAGAGAAAGGGGATGATCTACCAGTATGCAAAAGCTAAAATTAATAATCCTATTTTAACCCTTCTAACATCTTTCTGTTACTGTTTATTTTCAATGCAAGTTACATCTTAACGTTAATAATTAAATTAATGGGGAATTAAGTAAATGGATTGCAAACCCGTCTGTTAATAAATGGAAGGAAAAAACATGAATCTCCAAATTCTATGGAAGATCCAACGTCTTTTTATTGTAAGGAGTGACAATAGGAATTCAGTTCCCTAACACGCATTGTTACAATCCCTTTACTAGGTCCGGACTTTTGTCAAGAACATTGTAATCGGCCCGTGTTACCACAGAAAAGCTTCCCATACAGGCTTTTGACAATTTATGGAATAATAAAAAAAAATTCGATTTCACAATCCGTCTTATAGGAAGTTTACTTAGCGACTGACGTCTTCTCCAGTGCAGTTAGGATAAAATAACTTAATAACTTGACTGAGTGCTCTCGAGAGACTCATCGACGCCCAGGTTTACATAATACTCTTAATCAAGTTCTGTTTATCTTAAGCCGCTGAGGATACCTTGATTGACGTCTGTCAGTTCGAATCCGTAAGCGTTTCACATCTATTCAAACAAAAACAATAACATTAAATAATGTCTGTCTTCTTTTTAATTTTATTTATTTCTAAATGACATAGTTGCGACAAAAATGAATTGGCATAATGACGCATTTTTAATAATTAAACATTTAATTAAATACTAGGC